GGAATAAAAAAAAAACAACCCATCAACGACTGCAACCATGAATGGCACAGAAGGACCCAACTTTTATGTCCCTATGTCTAACAAGACTGGGTTGGTTCGCAGCCCGTTTGAGTACCCCCAGTACTACCTAGCTGAGCCCTGGAAGTACTCTCTTGTGGCCGCGTACATGATGTTCCTCATCATCACTGCCTTCCCTATCAACTTTCTCACCCTCCATGTCACCGTCAAACACAAAAAGCTGAGGACCCCTCTGAACTACGTCCTGCTCAACCTGGCGGTGGCCGACCTCTTCATGGTCGTTGGGGGCTTCACGGTCACCCTCTACACAGCCCTGCATGGATACTTTATGTTAGGGGTCACTGGCTGCAACATTGAGGGATTCTTCGCCACCTTAGGAGGTAAGAGATGGGGGTGTGAAATTGTTTATACATTTATCTTGTGTGTTCAGTGCTTTCATTCATATTTTGATTAATACAGACATTGTCCCCTTGTGTGTGTCACTTTGGTAAAGGAAATTATTTTAAAACACATACATTTTTGAGAAAATTTAGACAGTGTGAATACTTGAAATCTAAAAAACAGTCTGCACAATTACAAGTGTTTGATATCAAGTAAAAGTGTGCTGTGTGCTTTAAAATGTATGCCTGCTTTATTCTATGTCCCAGGAGAGATTGCTCTCTGGTCTCTGGTGGTTTTGGCTGTTGAGCGTTACATTGTGGTCTGCAAGCCAATGACCAACTTCCGCTTTGGGGAGAAACATGCCCTTGCTGGGCTGGCATTCACATGGATCATGGCCCTGTCCTGTGCTGCTCCCCCTTTGTGTGGATGGTCACGGTACTGTATGTTTCAGTGTCTAAACTGTGCTGGCCAGGCTTTAGAACCATACAAATACTGTACTGATCATTTGTACATTAAAGCGCCTTAGAGATTATCTTTATTTACTTGCAGCACACTTACTCAAAGACACATATGTAGTATCAAATACTGTGTGTGACGGTGTTGATGGAAATTCTTATTATTCTAGATTATTATTATTTGTCTGGATGCAGGTACATCCCAGAGGGCATGCAGTGTTCCTGTGGGATTGACTACTACACTCCCAAGCCTGAGATCAACAACACCTCATTTGTCATCTATATGTTTGTCCTCCATTTCTCTATCCCCCTCGTCATCATTTTCTTCTGCTACAGTCGCCTGCTCTGCACTGTGCGAGCGGTAAGAAAACCACTGTCAGATGCAATATTAATAACACAGATGTGATACCTTGTTTATCCCTGTAGAGAAACTCAATTTTTTTTTTTTTTTTTTACCTTTCCCCCCTCCACAGGGAGGTTAGCAGTATCACAGAGCACCATCTCTGGAGATGTGAGAGATTTAATGGCTCAAGGACACTTCAGGAGGGCAGATCATTGCCAACATAGCAGCTTATATCGAGGTCTTCCAGCTGGAGGGCAGTCTGCCTGCATTCTGATGCCCTCATTAATAATAGTTTAGCAACATTGATAATGTATTAGCAGTCATAAATAGTTAAAAAAGAATGCTTTAATTCTTAATTAAAGCGGCTATAATTTATATTTATATAAAAATGTGACAATGTGAAAAGGTTGCTCGTAGTGATGAACCTACAGAGAATTATCCCCTGAATCTGCAGCTCCCATCAGCTTTAGGGAACTTTGTAGCGAGTTTCAGCTCATTATCTGTCTGACCCGAGCTGCAAATTTACTCTTTTGGTTCACTCTCACCACTCTCATATCTGCGTGCACCAACCAGTAGACAAAGTTAGTGAACATGGAGAACGTGGAGAATTTAGCAGCTAAACTATTTCCCTCAGGAGTTGGTGGCAACCTAGCCCCAGTTTGTGGCGCTCATGTATTAGCATACAGCGGTAACGGCTGATGTTAATACATGAAAGGCACAAACTGGGGCTAGAGGAGACCAAAATAATATATAAATAGTATATTATAGAATATTGGACTTACATTCACCAAATTGCCAGAAACATGTGTCCAAATGAATGATAATGTTGTTCTGTAACTGTTGGATATGTTAATGAGCAACTATTTGCTGACAAGTTTGCAATATCAATTTAAAAGGCAATGTTATCTCAGGTTAAAATCTGATAATCCACCTGCCTTTCTATTCTTAAAAGCTCAATCTGTAATTAGACACATACATCACAGATACATTTGCTTGTATAATTGGAAAGTTTGACTTAATATTGAAAAACAAGTTTCAGTTGAAACCTTGAAACTTGAAACCATTACAGGTGTAAAGAAACATTCAACAGCAAGAGAAAACATGAGTAACTTAGTGTAGATTTAACTGTTTACTAGTGTTAGTCCATTTATCAAGAGACCCGTCAGTCAGTTTGGTAGTCTTATCCTGCGTTTTTCAATTTTACATTTGGATATTCATTAAATTAACAATGTGCATCTGTCTGTGTGTCTATCTGTGCTCAGGCTGCGGCCCTGCAGCAGGAGTCTGAATCCACCCAGAGAGCAGAGAGAGAGGTGACACGTATGGTTATTGTCATGGTGATCTCTTTCCTGGTGTGCTGGGTGCCCTATGCCTCCGTGGCTTGGTACATCTTTGCAAATCAGGGAGCTGAGTTTGGGCCAGTATTCATGACTGCCCCGGCCTTCTTCGCCAAGAGTGCCGCTCTGTACAACCCAGTCATCTACATTCTGCTAAACAGACAGGTAGGTGAAGCAAAAATCCTGGTTTGGTTATTTTGTGTGGATGTAGGCAAGGCAGTGGTGGAAAGTGCATTTTCTTGAATACTGTACTGTGTACAATTTTGAGGTACTTTTCTTTAGTATTTCCATTTTATGCTACTTTATACTTCCAATCCACTACATTTTACAAGCAAACGTTCTTTTTACTAAACTACATATTATCTGACAGCTGCAGTCACTTGAGAAAAAAAAAGTATAATAAGCTTATAAATCAAAATGCCTTGTTAAACATTTAATCAGTGGCTCCTGAACTTTTTGGGTTGTAACCTAGTATAATAAAAGCAGTGTTGGGGCCACATGTCACATTTCAGATGTCTATGAGTTATTCCTAGATATTGAAAGTATCCGGCGAAAAAATACCTCCCTATCCCTTCCTTATTACAGGTCCTGTGACAGCCATAGACACCGGATTTTATTTTATTTTATTTTTTCATTTTTTTGTCAGAGCATTTGATTAAATGATTGCTGTTGGGGGGGGGATTTCAAGAACATTTCAGTGAAGAACGCATAACACAAATGCCTCTGAAATAAACTGCTTTAATATAAATTAACTGTTCAAGGCACACTTTATCTAAATAAATAAATAAATAAATATATATATATTTATATATATTTTATATATATATATATATATACACACACACACAAATTTGTGTATCTTGTGACCCATAGGAAAGTACCTAACCTCTAGGTTGGGAACCAGTTACCTGAACTATCAAACTGTATAAACTAGCTCCACCTCATCCAGCTACAACAGCTAAATGCTATTTATGGCATTCTTGCAGCATTATCAACAGTCTAATGTCATATATAACAATATATATATGCCTTGTTGTTTCAACTTGAATTACTCTTATGTAGTTTATATTTTTATTTCTGTTCTTATTTTTATTTGATATACTCTGTATTATGTATTCTTTTTTCTATTTAGCCATATCTTATTTTATTTTATTTATAGCTTATCTTATTTTACATTTAGCTGATAATGCTGCTGTACGTTTACTTGTAATGGAGTATTTTTACATTAATGTATTGTCCCTTTTATTTAGTGAAGTTTTTATCATTACTGTGATTCTGATGTTCTCCTCCTTTATGTCCTCCAGTTCAGAAACTGCATGATCACCACGGTGTGCTGTGGAAAAAACCCGTTTGAGGACGATGAGGCCGCCACTGCCATCTCCAAAACTCAGACTTCATCTGTCTCCTCCAGCCAGGTGGCCCCCGCTTGACCTGTACCCCCTCCTCTCCCCTCAATGTCCCATCTGTCCCTGCACACCTAGGGACCCAACACTGCCAAGCAGCACTACGTTCTATTGGCCAATCCTCTTGACTTACCTCTCCATGTGTCTCCACTGCAGCGGCACAACCACACGTTTTTGGTGGGACTGACATCATCAAGAACCACCATGTGTATTTTCAATCCATTTTAATTATGGAAAGAGTTCAGCTGGCCTCACAGAGTTTAACCCGGCACCAAGGGGGTGTTGTCTGTGTGACGATCCAACTGAACCCATTCCAAGCTCCCCACTTCCCAAAACACACATAATAGGTGAAAATCTAATTCACCACACCGCATAATTTCATCCTCCTCAGCTCTAGTTTAAGTAATTGTTGCAGCTACATGTTCCCCAAATGCGCTTTAAACAATCCAGTTTATGAATTCTTAGGTGAAAATAGTTATTAAATTTGTTTAGATATTTCAGATGAGTTTATAAGGCATCGGACAGGGATGTCCTCTGGTCTCTCTGTTTCTGCTGTCGTCTTCATGGTGAAGCTGAGGTTGTAGGTTTGCTTTTGGCCAGCGAGACATGAGTGTAAACAGATGGACCTGAAAAGAGCCTCTGCAGGGAGAAGGCGCCTCCTGCAAGAGAGTGTGTGTGTGTGTGTGGGGGGGAGGGTGTGTGTGTGTGTGTGTGTGTGTGTGTGGGGGGGGGTGTTTATGTGTTTGAATGAATGTCAGTGTGTGTACTGAAGAGACATTATTTTGTTCATTGTGTAAATGCTAGGATGTTGTGGAAGTTGTTCTGTGTCCTGCAATAAAAACAAAGCTAAATGTCTGCACGACTTTTCCCTGACTCGTTTTTTCATGAGAACTTTTACAAGGCTTTCTGAGAGGTTCCAGATGCTAGTTTGCGGGCTTTTGGGTGGCAGACCAGATGTGAATGGCTCTCAAATGTTGTTATAATTTTGCTATGCTGTCATGCATTTAGAAGTGAAGAACTTTGAGCCTTGGTACAAAAAACACTGTCATCATTAGACACATCATCAAATCCTAAATACTGTAATTTATTTCACAAACTCTGACAAGTCATTTGGCATCACAAATACAGTCTCTCTTCAGATTATATTGAGCTCACTTTTTCTCATAAATGCAAATTTCCCTCTTTGAAATTGGTCAGAATCCACCATGAAATTCATTCATTTACAACCACACTGATCAACACTTCTATAATGATGCAGCTCTTCCCAGTGAACTACATTACAGCTGATTTCATAAATTTCTGTCATTTATATTCCTCTCTCCACTCCTCCTCAACCCATCATCAACCCGCAAAGCACTGGGACGTATTGTTCAAAGCACCGATGGGTGCGTGTCAGCCATCTTCACCAATCACACCTGAGAACATTGCAGGCTTTTAGGAGATGGGAGGAGTTTATCGCAGTCATTCCGACTCATCCTGGTGAACAGGCCACGTGAAAGCATTATAACACATCTATAAATATTGCTATGGACAATTATAATACAGTACAGTGCATCATTGGCTCGTTCCCTTAAGAAAAGGGTTCAGTGCGTTAAGATTGCCACCAGGGCTTATTGTAGGTCCCAGTAACTGTAAAGACATCCAGAAAAAAAAGCCTCATCACCAAGCTCCTACACCTTCCCTCAAAAGCATAGCTGAGCCAGACTGGAATTCTGTCCGTGTCATAGGGGAAAGATTTGGGGAAATGTGCTTGACATTCCCAGATCAGAGGAGGAACACCTTGCAAATGCACGACGCTTGACAGGCAGGTTTAAGTCTTTAAGTCCTTTGCTCTGCCACATTTCACGCTTCTTCCTGTGGTATTAATAATGACACTTCTGAAGGCTTACTCCGTAGGGGCCGACATTCCCAAGTAACTATGTAGGCAGGAGAAAGGCAGCTGTCAGCAGGAGAAAGAGGTGGCTAGTAGAAAAGACACTGGCAGGATCAGGCTTCACTGCAGCACTCGTAGATGTTGTCCTCCACAAGGGCAATGACCTGCTCGAATTTGTGGTGCAGCTGAGTGCGACGTGCCGTGGGGTTAGACTCCAGAGCGCTCACCACCTGACCGAGGGAGAAAGGAAAAACACAACAAAGATGACTTTCAGCGGCTGTCGAGCGTTCATGCACTTGTCTGTGTGTGTGTGTGTGTGGGGGGGGGGGCAGCCACCTGCCTGGACATAGAAAGTTGAGGGAGAGGGAGAGCAGCAGAGGAACAACTGAAGTGCTTTTGCCTCTTCTCCAGCCTCCATGCCTCCACACCACAAAAGCCTTTGCTCTTCACATATTTACAAAACCCACATCTGCTGTGTTATTCGTGCCCAATAGTCGTCACCGTGTCAGTAGGATTTATGGGCTCTTAGCGGCAGTGTGCTACCAGGCAGAGTGAACTGAGCTGGGGCGAGAGAATAGGCAATCAGGGGCCATTCACAGAGCTCTGTGAATCAGACTCTATAAGCCCCTGGCCCACGTCAGTACAGTAGCATGAGGAAAGCAGCTAAATGGTATTATCACGAGGGTGCTCCATTAAGGCACAGTCACCACTGACTAAGCCTTTCTTGAGAATAGTCACAGCAGTAAGGAAACATGGGGGAGGACAGCGGGGCTCGAAGAGGGCTAGTTCAAAGAGAAACAGGAGATACGAAGCAGCAACTTAACAGTGTCATTTAGCAGATAGGGGCGGTGGATAAAGAGAAGGTAAACAGCACGTTGTTTACTCGAAGTGAAAGGCATATGTGTGCTGGAAGGGAGGATTGGACACATTAAATGTCGACTGCTACTGTAAAGATAGTTCACATCTGATTATTTCTGCTCCGAAAGAAGAGTTACTTAGTGCAAATATTTGAGTATCCAAGACTATGGACAGTGTGGCATATCTCTCAAAATGCACATGATCTTCCATGCTGATACGTCACGCTCTGATACCAGTCTGCTATCTGAAACTTAAAGAGGCAAAAGTGGTTGTCTGAAGTGTTGTGGCTGCAGAAACGGGGCCAGTTTAAACATGACTAACATATCTAATCCTGATCTGAGATCAGAAAGACAAGAGAAATAATGAAAGAATCTCTCCTCTCTTACCTGATTTCTGTATCTCTTGGCGTATTTGTAGATTTCTGTCAAGGCCAGGTTGGTGTTGAATTCATTTCTGTATTTCTACAGGATGGACAACAGACCGTTACATTAGATTCAGTTCCGCAATAAAAACTTGCATGTACGTGGCAGGCTTCTCTGGAGCCAGATGACTAACACACACGGACTTTCTGAACACTTTACTCACCCGTGACTCCTCAGCCAGGTGAGCGTTCATTTCCTGCTCGCTGAGAGGTGCCATTTCCTGTATCTGCTGGTAGTAGCCCTGCACTCTCTTCTTGTACTCAGGGATCTCCTTGGCATACAGCAGCTTGTTGGTAGGGGAGTCCTGAAAAAAACGACAACACACATTTCAATCAGGATACAATGTTTTAACCATTTATTGCAGCAATTTGCTTTTTAGTTTGTCAGTGTGGCTCTGCTCATGGAAGAAATCGGAGCAAGCTTGACACAGACTGTCCCTGAACTCACCACACATGTTCAAAATATATGTACAACTACATGCTAAAACAGGAGGAGGCTGAAAACAATGTAGTAGCGAGGATGCAGAGCTCAGCGGGTATGGAGCATACCAAAAAACTACTGGCAAACAACTCGCATGCCAGCCTAAACCACTGCAAGGCTCCATATATGGCATAACTTCAACTTTTAATGGCCTTCTGAGGGTTAATTAATAATTTAGCACTGGACCTTAGTCTTTCATAAAAAGATGTGTATGTTATGTCTGCAATTGGGAGCGCATGTCCTAATAAGGAGCTGTTCAGTTGGACTTGATGTTATTTGCTGTTGACCCAATCTAAACCAGCCTAATGTGAGACAATGGGGGGAGGGAACCGTTTCCTTTTCACACAACAACAGACTCAAAAACTCAGAGCCAGAGAAGGAACATTCCAGTCTAAACAATACTCCCTCATACCTCTGCCACTCTCTCCACAGTCACTTCAGGCTCTCACACTGGTGCTTATTCAAGCGGGAAGAAAAGTAACGGGGCTAAGAGGTTGTGGGCATCCTCTGGTTTTAGTGGTGACTACTGTTGCGAGCGAGTCTGTGTGTGGGTCTTTATGAGCTGTGCATGTGTGTGCGCGCGCGCGGGAGAGAGAAAGGGACAGAGAGAAAGTAGGACAGGGAAAAAGAGGCGGCCAGCCTCAGCTTTCAGCATCAGTGAATGTGCTTACAGCGCACCTTAATATTTGTCATGAGTTATTTGTGTCACCTAATATATGTGTTTGTTTGCATGTGCGTGCCTGTTTGTGTATTTTAAAGGTGCTGAGGGAGAGGAGAGGCCACTGCTCCTTCTGATAGGGAACCCTCTCTCTTCCTGTCCACAAGGTCACTTCCTGCTGTTCGCCCATCTGCCTGGTAACCCCCCTGTGACCCTGTGGCCCTCCATCTCTGCATCTCGCCAGATAAGAGGGTTTCTGTGGAAACAGTGAGCGTTGCTTGGTTTCCTACCCATCTCTCTCTCACCCCTGCTATGTTCCTGCTAATCCAGACCCCGTACCCTTCACTGCTCTGTCCCGAGGCCATCGCACACACTCGAGCACACAAATAAGCAACTGTATTCACTCCAGGAAAATGTAGAGGTGTGTCATGCCAGTCTCCTTGAACTACGGGAGAAAACGTGGCCACATCCTTGAACTCGGTGACTCCACAATACGTGCAAAGCCAGATGCGAGATGCTAATGAGGAGGCTGCGACAAACTCTGTCCAGAAAGTCTCATCGCTGGAAGTTTTACATGTGTCTTTGCATCCTTAGGTATGTACCTACTTGCATGTACATGTGAATATTGCTGCCGTGAGTGCACTGGCTCTTTGGCAATGAACTGAAGTATATAAATCAGACTGTTCCTCAGTGAAAGAGGAGCATCATTTGATGAGTCCTCGGCTCCCTCCAGGGAGGAAGCCAGTCAGAGAGAGACAGGAAGCAGAGCGTGCTCAGGGTCACGGTGTCTGAGGGATGAGACGGATTTGTGAGCACTGAGGACATTGACATGCAAGCACACACACACACACACACACACACACACACACACACACAGAAGGCAGACAGACAAACAGACAAACACGCCTGAACACAGACACACACACGCGCGCGCATGCACTTCCGCACAGAACAAAAAGAGATCCCTGGTGCTCATGACCTTGGATCAGCCGACTTGGCTGAAATAACATGAGGAGAGGTAGATGGAGCTGACAGTCTGAAGGCTTAGGGATAAGTTTTCACAAGGGGACTCAGGAGGTGTACATGTGTGTGTAAGTGTGTGCGCGTTAGATAGATTGATAAATAGATAGATCACCTTTATTTATTCAGGTATTTAATTAGATTCATAGGTATGGTAGGATAAATCAGAGGTTTGTGAGAGGGGTGTGGAGAGAGAGACATAAGGCAAGGGACAGGTGTATCGAAATTTGTACATTTGTGATATAGATTTTTTTTCGTTTCAGTGTGACTTACGCTTTAATATCATAATTATTCATCATAGCCTCCGAAATCCATCACAAATAAACATCCATAAATTGTGTAAATTAGACGAATCAGTTAGAAATCATGGAAAAAACAACAATCATTAAAACTCCAGAACTTGCTTGAAAATAATCCCCTTTTTAGACAGATAGATAGATACATATAGTCTCACCTTGCCAAGCTGCAGGTCAGAAATGGAGCAGGCATCTATGAAGGCCTGGGCAATGACAGACAGACAGGCGTCCATGTGATCCGTCTTATCAATGTCAAACACAAACTGAGGATTCTTCAAGATGTTCACCCAGAAACGCAGAGGTAAACTGCACGGACAATGAAAGAGTAGCATTTAAAGCCTTGCACTTGCACAGTGAGGTGACCAAAGGGGGACTTTCATTAACAGAGTTTAGTCGTGAGACCTGTTGGTTTTCCAGATGTGCAGCGTGTCTGGATCTGTGATGCCCCGTTTGTCAGCCTGCTCCTCCAGGAAGTCAAAGAAGTATTTGACAGCCAGTGGGGGGCGGTCCGGAGGGATGCTGAGGATGGCTTGAAAGAGGTCATCCAAGAACTTCTGAAGAGTTCCCTGTATAGGAAAAGAAAAAAGGCGGCTCGTACATGCACAGAGACAACGTTTCATGGAATGTGGGTATTTTGACGCGGCTCCTGAGGCTAATATGGGCCATGAAAACAAGAAATAGAAAGATGACTCAGATATCAAGCTGTAACTTAAGTCTCTTTGTAGTTTCAACAAACAGTTTCTTGTGTTCACCTTGGTGGACAGCAGGCGTGTCAGGTAGATTTCAGGCAGGACCTTCTTCCGGTGGCTCTGCCTGTGTGACCTCTTGTTCTCATTTAGCTCATCATGAGGTAGGACCTGGAAAAGCAGGGGCCAAAGATGAACATACCACTCACAAGTTGACGTAATAAACCCCCGCATAAGTAGCTAAATGAATGCTTTACTGTCTCAGCTGTCAGAGGGGAATTTTCTGTTTCTTGCATTAGACACATGATCCAGAAACCACATGAGGGTATTCTGAAGCAGTAAATAATATGCAGAAGTGAGGAGGTGATGGCAGTTGGGAAATTCTCATGGTTTTCTCTGGTTGCTGTGTACAGGATCATATCTCTGACTTGCTCATACAGGTCTAAATAGGGGTAAGGGAAAGAAAGAAGCAGTCAAAATCCACCTACTTGTGTCAAAAAAGGACTATAGAACTGTCCTGTAAAACTAACTATTCACCCGGCAAATTGTGTTCCAAGGAACTCATTATTCTAAAGTCAAAGGGCCCATATCTTGGCTGACGTTTATAAAAGAGCTTAAGCAGCATTAGTGCTGTCATGTCCTCTCAGCAGCTTTCCTTTTCACCTCCATTCACCCCCATTCTCTCTGTCGTCAGGCCTGCTCGGGGCTGACTAACAGTGGCACACACAGGAGAAAGCTCTAGTAACAAGCTCAGAGTGCACTTATAGAAACATTCTGATTACCTATGAGGAGATACTCACCAAGTGGACGTACTTCTCTGTATCCAGATCTTTAACTAAGGAGAAAAAGAAACATACGGCATGAAACAATGTGCAATCAGCAAGGTGGAGACCTGAGAGAATGAGAGGAGACAGGGGGAGGGAGCACAGAGGAGTGTGACAGATAGAAGGGAGGAAAAAAAAAACACTCCCGAGATTGACAGGAGAGCAAGCGAGATAAAGTACATGCGAGAGAAGAAAGTGATTAAGGTGGACTGTGGGCCGGTAGGGGAGGGGAGCTGTCTGAGAGAATGAAAGAGAAAGATTACGAGTGAAGGGAGAGAGAAAAGAAAGAGAGATTAGGGGAGACAGACACACAGAGTCTGTGATTGGCTCTGGAGCCGGTGTAATGAGATGGTAATGCTGGGCCAAAGCTGGGAAAGAGAATTAAACCTTGCTGGTTTATATATATAGACCTAAACACAAACACACTCATCCGCATGCATGAACACGTATGAATACTCAAATACATGTAGAGACGCATGTCCAAGTAAAAACTCGAAGCAGACACAAATAAATACTCTCCAAACACTCCAGCAAAAACAAAGACAGGCATTTGTGCAGATACACACACACACACACACACACACACACACACACACACACACATACACAGTATAGTGTGTTCTCATTACAGCTCTGCCATGGATGCTCCTGCCCAGCGGGCCTCAGTCCAGACCCTCAACACTGATCACAGGCAGGCAGGACAGTGTTTTTTATTAGCCAGGGAGCACTACAGGCTCATAACACCCCCTTGACGCTTTGAAGCCAGAGCCAGGTTTGGTCCACATAAGCCTATTTTTGGCCCCGTATGAATGAGAGGAGAGGCTTTGATGGACAGAGCTTGAACAGAACTGAGCTCTGGTCTGGTACTGATTATGTAAGGTAGGCCCAAGACAAAAAATCGGACAAGCCCATTAAAGGCTGTATATAAACTCATCTGTCAACAGGCAGCAGTCATTATATATTCCGGGCTGACAATGGGCCAACTTGTGTCACATTTTTCCCCACAAGCTGACACTCGCTAATGGAATACATTTATAACACAGGAAAAAATAGCTCAGAATGAAGCGGCAGCGCAACTCCTGTGCGAAGCAGGAGAGTGTGTGTTGGGATTTATTAGGTGCGAGTGTGTTTAGGTGTCCGCAGTGTCATATGGGGATGGGAGGGTGTGCGATTTCATGCGTGTTTACATGAGCGTATCGTGTTCTCGTGATCAACTAAGCATGTGCTGCTGCCTGTGATCGAGTGAGTGAGTGTATTTATCCATGTGCGGGTGAGTGTGTGTGTGACGGGGAGCGGGTGCGTTTGAAGGCGACGTACCTCTCCCCAGGGTGTTGTCTCTCTTGTCTTTCATGCTCATAGCCAGCGACGCACCCTCTGGGATCTGTGAAGGGAGAGAAGACGAAGGAGGAGGGAGGGAGCAAAGACGAGAGGGGACAGAGGGCACGGGGTCAGGGGTGAGCTGAGGTGCACCAGAACAGCATCATTAAGCATGCCCTCGAGGGAAGTGCGGTGTTGAGAGGTGAATATGTTTGTGTGTGTGTGTGTGTGTGTGTGCGTGCATGTCATTCTTGTGTGCATCTAGAGTGGTGGCAAGTCTGCGGGAGCCTGGCTGGGCTCATTAAAGTCAACCTGTGGTGAAATGGATTGAACAGCCTGGCCAGTGAACCCAGACTGTTAGTACAAGCTGCAGCTCGCTGCTTTCACAGCTCTGTCCCCATGGCTCAGCAAAAACTAAACAGAGCACTTAACAAGTACAGGTAAATGGTCAAAGGTTGGGGGTCACTGAACGACTGTTTACTTGCGTACAAATGAACGCGGACATAAGCAAACACACATACACCTAAAGAAAAATTCTTAACGGGACACCAGGCATGACATTTCACCTGTGTGTTGGTAATTTTATATATATATTTTTTTAAAAGTATCTATAAAACACATGAGTGCTTAAATGAATGACTAAGCACCATACATATCAGATACAACTTCTTAAAGGCTCACGTCATAATACTACAATAAAAAAAAAAAGATAAAACATTCACAAATTCTTACAATGACATCTAAACTCTACTTCTTCAATGAATATGGAAATAGTGCTGGATACAAGACTTTAATGTGAAATTCATTGTGAGCGTATGTGCACTGAATGTTTTAAGTTTCCACATCACACTTGTGTTGTGTTACACACTGGGTAAAGAAAGGCTTCCAATCTAGACATCATGTTTTACGCCTCCATAAAAGCTCAGTTTTTAAGGCAATGACAGAGAAACTTTCCCCCTTCAACAGAACAGTGTGTGAAACAAACTCTTCACATACGTCATTCTGCACAGCGGAGGTCAAACTAAGTGACGTAGCAACATGTACAACACGTTACTATGCGGAGCGGGACTTTAATCATTTAGTCAACAAATAATTTAAACACTGGCACACAGGAGTTTTAAAAATAACTTGTCATGTCATTAGTTCATTGTTTACAAGAACTCAGCCAAGTATTTAGGTCTCAAACATGGCTAATAACTTTAAACTTCCATTATTAATGACTTTGTCTTTAACAGTTAACACAACTTATAAGTCATTAAAGTCCACCTCCACTCAAAGATTTGTTTCGCTTATTGTTAGTTCAGTTGAATGTTTGACCTTCACTGTGCAGAATGACGTGTGTGCAGGAGTTTGTTTCTAACATTAATCTGCTAAATTGTGTACGTTATCATAGTTAACTGCTGATTAACCAGTAACTACTTTGAAATAACATAATTTTCTGTTCACTAACAGTTGTTAGACATTACTATTTACTCACTGGCGGACAGTAATTAAGTACATTTACTGAAGTACTGTACTTAAGTACAAATTTGAGGTTGTACTTTACTTGAGCATTTTCTTTTAATGCCACTTTCTACTTCTACTCCACTATATCTCAAAGGAAGATATTGTGCTTTTTACTTCACTACATTTATCTGACAGCTTTAGTTACTAATAAGTTTACAAATTAAATTTTTTACACACAAAACATATGAAGACTTACTAATATATGTTTTGTTACAGATTAAACTACCCAACATTCTATCCAAGTACCGCTGACACGATTATTAGATTAATATTGAAATTAAGTGGCAACAACTTTAAAGACATTTTTCATGTATAAACATTTCATGGTTCCAGCTTCACAAATGTGAAGATTTGCTGCTTTTCCTTTCAATTATTTTAATTTGTTTGTAATAATTTTGAGCTTTGTACTGTAATTTTAATAATTTTACTTTAGTAACATTTTCAATGCAGGACTTTACAGTATGTTATTTGTATTTTTACGTAAGTAAAGGATCTAGATACTTTTATCTAAAACCGTTACCTAATAACTGTAATAATAACATAAACACACTGTATATTCTATGTCTAAAGTCAGTAACCACAGTATAAAGGACGCACCTGGACAGCCAGTGACACCATTTATAAGGACTTCTCACGTTCAACATCCCCGCTGTTGCTGTTACAATATCATGGATATACAGGTACAACACCTACCACAGTGGTCGGACACACACACACACACACACACACACACACACACACACACACACACACCTGGTAATGGAAGACTGTGTTGAGTTTCTTCCTGCCATCTTCCATCACTGAGGAGTTATCCAAGTCCTGCAGGAGCTTACTGTTGCTGCCAGAGTCAAACCATTCTGGAGGGGAAAAGTGAGAGAGAGAAAGAGAGAGAGAGAGAGAGAGAGAAAGAGAGGCAATAGGAAGAGAAAGGATAAAGTGATATTAGACAATTTCATCGTAAATTTGGCAAAGAATATGCGAGGCAGAGGGCTGCCGTGCTCTAACTCTCTGTGTCACGACCTGTGGAAATATTCTTGGGCCATTAATCAAATCAGCTCTGCAGGCTCCGCAGCTTTTGAAAGCAATAACTCTTTGTGATTATGACTGTACACTGTCCTCGATGCATTCTGTCATTTATTATATTGCAGCCTCAGGTTAGTCGAGCTTCATGAGAAGAATTGACCTTTTGCAAAGGAGATTACTATATCTCGGAGGGTTGGGAAGGGGAAAGGATGAAAATAATCAGAGAAAATGTACTCTTACCCAGGTCTACATCCTCTGCTCGGGGCCACTGGGAGAATGGCAGGTTTTTATAAAAGACCTCTAGGATTTTTTCCTTCACCTGGCCAATTGTGTCTGTATTCATGACCCTGACAGACAGTGAGTCCATGCCACAGCCCTGGAAGGACACGTTGATGTTCTGCAAAAAACAAATAGAGAGAAATGCATTTCAAAATGTGTACGTTTGGTATTTTAGCATGATTGAAACTTTCACAACTTGATTTGATATTGATTTCTAAAAAGCAATACAAAAGGTGTGACAGATGAAAGGAGAGTGTGTGAGGTATCAGACCTGTGGCTTGGCCTCGACATTCTCGCGGAGCAGCCACTCCTCATTGAGCGTGTAGCGGGCCTTCCCTGTGATGGCGTCTATGGAGCCCTTGTTGATCTGCTGCTTGATTGCACACAGCAGAAGGAAGAAGGGCTCACCCACTGTTTCCTGCAGAACGTAGCACACAGGTGGAGTCAAACATCACAGGTGTTGCAATTCTTTATAATCAAGCCTGCCTTATAACTTTACTGAGCCTCTTTCTTTTCTGTCCTCACCTTGAGGTAGCTGTACATGCAGATGGACATCCAGTTAGTCAGCATTTTCTCCACAACAGACTCAGTGCGGCGCAGCATCAGTTTGGGGTTCTTGGAAGCCGAAGCATCAATTAGGTCCACCAGCAGATCTTTCATGATACTGGTGTAGTACTCTAGTTTACCATGAAGGGCAATGGTGAGCAGAGACGCCAGGCTGCATCTGAAGGGTGAGAAAACACATTAGCAGGGAAGACAGATGAGCAAAAACATGCGCATGCAAACATGCCCCGTCAGTGTGTGGTCAGTGGAGATTTAAAAATAACTTCATTACACAAACAACAACAAGGTTTCATCCTGACCACACAGTAGTACCTGTGACCACAGAGCCAAGGGGCCTGATCTAATGCAGGGAGTGTCTGGGTGAGTAAGTCCAGAGGAGCGGGGGATTTCCCTAACAAAGCCCCTTTAATCCGGGAGAGAGGGGCCACATTAGTCAGTAAGTGCTGACGCTGAGCTGAGACAGTGATGTGGTCTTGCCTCTGGAATCTTCACAATTCTCCACAATGACTGGCTAGTTTTAGCCCATCAGGACCAAAACAGCTACATAGATAAATGACCAAGTATTTGCAGAGCTGGAACAACCACTATATAAGTGATGACGCTGTAGTTTGTGCTTCCGTTGTCTTGAAATGTGTTACAAATATTTTGTCCACTTCATTTACACTTATTGTTATAACAATTATTATAGAGGACTTAAAACATTAAATCTGCACGAGCTGGTTTTTGGCCACTTCTCTGTTTTGATATCCAGCAATTCCTGTGATATATATCTGAGTTTTTAGCAGATATTTACTTAACTGTGTTCATCAACTAGTTGCTAACTTTGTCTGTCTGTTGCATGACACAAAACTGCTAAGTTGTGGGCTGTAAAACCAAAGCAATGAGCTGAAAGATGGTAAAACTCTCTGTAGCGGTGAGGGGAATTGCAGATTCATGCGATATTTCTCTGAACGTTTGTTTCTACAAGCAACACCTTTTACATGAGCTGTTAATAAAAAATATAGAAATGAAGCTGCTTTAAAAACACCTCACAATCCAATGCAATGCCACAGCTGCTGCTTCAAAAAATTATCACTTAAGTGAATTCGTCCGACAATGGTTACTCAGGATTTAGTGCAATTAAATCTTGTAAATCTGTGCTGTTTCTGCCAAACGTATTTCAGTTGATGCATTTACCTGTCTCGTATAGCAAAGTCCTTCTGCTGTTCCAAGGCGTGGACAAACGTGATCAGGAAGTGTTTGTTATTGAGAAGAGTGGCAAAGAGAGTGATCCCCTCCTCTATGTTCGGCCTGGTTGTGTTGGTGGCCTGATGACAGAAGGGGAGAAACAGTTATTTCTCTGCAGGGTTTCACCTGAACTGCATTACAGCCCCGCTGCGCCCTCCCTAATCTGCACCACCACCTCTTGTCTCGAGTGACCCATCTAGTCAACACTTCATCTTTCTACCACAGCTCTTCCTTCTGCTTCTTCAGGCACCTCTCTGGTTACTAAACAGTGTCTGTATCTCCCGCTCCGGTCCTTGACTGTGTGTGATTGTCTCTAAATGTGCCGAGTCGACTTAATGAGTATGGCCTATCTATGGGTGCGACTAAGCAGCAGTGTGATGAAGTCTTCCCTCTGGACTGCAGCCATATGGTATGGTTTGCAGCCTGACAGAAGGAGAACAGGGGTGTCCATTAAGATAAATGCCCGCCTGTGAGATTTATTTGCTGTGACCTGGAAAACACTTCCTGGGAAGACGATGTAGATCCAAGGCACTTCATCACGGTTAGACAGTCTCCCCCGGCTGCCGACCCAAAACCAGCGCTGCAATTGTTACTTTCTCTCTTCCTAACTTGCACTTGCACACACACACCCACACACACGCTTTTACTTTCAGCACACGTTCATACAAAAGTGTTTGAAAGTGCACGCTCCCTCTCCCACTCCTTCTTTATAATGCTCACTCCCGTCCGTCCCTCTATTACACACACGCACACACAAACAACAACAGCTAGAGATGGATTTCGATGAAAAGCATACTGTTTGCTTGTCAAAGAGCCAGTGGGAAGTGTGTCAACAACCTGCCATCAACTTGGTGGGCAGTGTGTTTTTTGTCTCACTCACTAGAAACCACTGAGCGATATGCAGTATTCATAATATTCATGCACACACAAGAACATATGAGCTCACACAAACACATAGAGTACACTGACACCCTCCCCACACACACACACACACACAAACACACACTGTAACAAGCACACAATAGGCAAGAATTCCCAATATGCTTTTCTTTATTCCTCATCAACAACATAACCCACTGTCAAACCTTAATAAGCTTCAGTGTGACCCAGTTTAGAAGCAAAGGAGTGAAAAAGGACCCAAATCAAGCCAAGCTGGCAGACAAACGAGCGACCTAACCTAACCTAACCTAAACTAACGTCCTAATGGCTTATCCTTTCACCTGCCAGTCCTGCAGAAGCGGGTGAGTCTCTGGCAGCGCTCGAGGGCCCAGGCCATCATTCTCGTAGGCGGGCTGGACCAGACTCTTCTCGTAATCTGAACACATCTGAAACACACACAAACACAGAGAAAACACTTTAATACAAAGTCAGCTCTGGCTGTAAACACAGGAAGATGGATAGACAGGGAAAACAAAAAGAGCTGGCCTAAATTTGCAATCTGGACCCAAAGGGCAGAATTTTTTGCTGAGACCCGGAATAGGCGCAGGCTGACCATGAGAAAGAAACGTGACACGAAACGTCATGAGCCTTAATGGCTTTAGAGGCAAAGTGACCCAAAGCCAAGGGGCGGCTACATTTGGCTAATGGTGTCTAAGGCTGTGTCTGACACTGTTTCGTGTGTGCGCACGTAATCTAAGAGAAACCAGAAGCTCTCGTGGAAAAACAAGAGCTCACAAGGGGCGCGGGTAGAGAAAACTATGGAGAAACGATACTGAAGCAGCAACACTTGAATTTATGTTTCCCTCCATGGGGCCTTTCAACACTCTCCCCACTCACTTCCTTCACAACAGAAAACAGTGTCCAGTGTCCACAGCAACAAACCAGCGCGGGTGCCATTGCACAAGAGCATGTATCCTTGCAAAACAGTGTGGGCGTGTTAGCTGAGTGAGGAGTGTGTTTTGAGAAATCGGGGGAAAGTTTCCTTGTCTCAGTGCCTGCCATTGTTCTGTCTCCTTGAATGTCCATACCTGTGGTTGGAAGACAAAGCCCGCTGAGTAGTGTCTGTCTGTACCGGTGGAAAACCCCCCACCAACAGATAGACCCACATTCTACCTTCAGGGTGGATCACACATTAGAAAAATGCTTACCTATAGAGAAAGCATTAACTCTCCCGCAGGGTGCCAAACTGAGCAACACTATACTTCACTAGACGTCTACTGTGTGTTTAAAAGTTCCAAGGTGAATTTATATCCAGCATATTGCAAGCAGTGGGACATGGGAAATGGGACGTGTTGGGGGGCAAAAATATTAAAGCCCCATTGAGAAAAATGGTATTGTCAGTGTGCCAGTTGAAATCAGATAGCAGGGGAAAAAATAAGCTTTCTCACCTTGGGGAAAAACGTGCGTGTGACAAACTGTTTGTACTCCAAAAACGGGATGCCCTGGCTGCGATTCAACTCCTTGGTCAGGTCCGTCATGTCCGTCTGCAGCTCTGCAAAGCCTGAAATGACATTAAAAAAACTCAGTTGGGCTTGGAGCTTGGGACTGTTTTTAAACCACAGTCCTGTTTCTGGCTCCTCAAGCTTCATTTGTTGCTGAGCCAAATGAGTCAGAAATGTGTTCACAGGCTAACACAATAACCACCAAATTCTCCCAGGGTGCCGTGGGATCTGTAAGACTCTGGCTGAGTGAAGAGATTTGAGATCAGACAAAGAAATGTATCATTTAATTTAGACCTAGCGTCATGTTTTAGTTGAAAACTTAATACACCAAACACTCATGCTCTGATCTTTTTCCTTTCTCTCTTTCTTCGCCAGAGTGTGCAGTCCAGCACGGCATGCAGGCGAATATTTACCAAACAGCAATCAGAGTGGCCAAATCCAGTCGGAGGCCCTCATCCAAAACATGTGTGCAGGCTGAGGTTTACATGCTGCAGGAACAGTATCAGCGTATCCAGACACTGACTTGAATCTGCATGCTAAAATTGTAGCCACTTCATTGGATAGCATGTTTAAGGAGAGGATAATGTTCTGCTCTAATGAGACGCAGGAGATCCCTTTATGGAAAAGGCTCTTCCTGCTGCAGGATGAGAGACGTATTTAGGTTACAATGCCAGTTTCTTCAGATTGTGTTTGTGCAGAAAGAAGGGAATACTAGACCTGAGGGATTTAAAATGTATTTCATTACTCCTCCAGGTTATTTATCCTCCTGCTCACTAAAGCGTCCTTTAAACTACAGTCAGTTCACACCATCAGCTCCTGATTGGGTGCAGAGGGCCCGAATACCAAACCTCCCCTCTGCCCCTTCAGACGAATACCAAAAACCCTCCCTTTCCCATAACCTGGAATATGTCAGTTTCCAATCTTCTTCTGCTTTTATCACATCTTTCGTCAGAACTATCCCTCGCTTTTTGCACACTCACCCTGAACTCGGCTACAAATCTGTCTGTGTCCTCTGACTAAATAACCTCTCCTCCTCTCCCTCCCACGCCTCTGTTTCTTCCAGGACTTGCGGCCCTGACTCCCGCTCCTATGGCTTCCTCCCTCCATTTCTCTTTCTCTATCCGTCCCCCCTATCTCTGCGCCATAAATCTGGGTGCTCCGACGTGTAGTGGCCTTCACATGGCTTTACTCTAATGCCCTAGACACACACACATGCACAGACAAACATAGAGCACTAAACACACACACACACACGCCTTGTTGCTATAGGGGTAGACACAGCAGAGGCACTGCGGCCACTCAGTGCGTCTTGCGTGTGACTGATCATTTGTCAGACACTGTGTTTTATGAGTCACGCTTACTAGGCACAAATCTGTCAACTGTTGTATCTTCCTCCCACTTCAGACAAGAAAAAGTATTTTGCACACACACACACACACATACACATAGATGCGAACAAACACACAGATATATGTGGTCAATATTTCTGTCTCCACACAAGCTATTTTTTGCGTCAATTGACACAAAACATAATTTGTGCGTGCGCTCGCGCGCTTGTGTGTGTACATGCATGTGTGGGATCTTGTAAACACACCTTTACGGATCTCCTCTCTGATCTGGGACTCCATCTCCTCCATTTGGAGTAGAGTTTTCTGCCAGTAGCGTTCTGCCCTTCGGCTCTTTGTGCAGTACACTACAAGGGCTGAGAAAGACAAAATGCAGTTAATATCCGGCATGTTTCAACCCAAACAATGGTATTACACACTGACAGCTTCCAGTAAATCATAACATAACGAATAGGTTGAAAAATGTTTGTGAAAATAACAGTTTTGTTTCACCTTTTGTGAGCCAGTGAAAAATATGCTGAAACTGATTATTCATTTCTTAGAAAGATTGTGAAAGTGTAAATAAAATTTGTGGCAATATTAACACACACAAAGTCATACAAGAAAAAAGGGTTCTGTGAATATCTGAGAACAGATTCAAAGCAGGAAACTGTGTGAAAATCGACACTAGCATTAATTTTCATCCTACACCTGCTCTGCACACACTCTAAGATTCCAGAATTGAGTACACTGACACACATAAGCACACAGACAGAGTAGACAGCGAACGGAACAGTGGGGTCTTTGTGCTTCGGGTACTGGAGAGGGATGAAACAATTGTGGGAAACTATGACCCCCGAATTCCTTTTATCTGTTCCACATCTGGAGCATCCATTGCTACAGCAGGCACACATCCATCATCTGCTGGTAAGCATGTGTACACAACCTACCCACAGTGCACAGCAGCAGCAGCACACAGCATACCACAATGGATACCACGATGGCCAGCTCGCTGCCGCCAAGCTGGACTTTGGCGATGGTGTGGCGGAAGTTCCCCACTTGCACCTCGAAAGAGAAAGAGGAACAACATGTAAAAATGGAGCTTCTTTACAAATTCTCTCCTCTTTTGTTTTTTTGTTTTATTGCTTTTATGCTTCTGACCATTACCCTTTACATGCTAAAGTACTGTATATGTCATCCTGTCATTGATATTTTTTATTGTGCAGCCCACATGGAAACAAATATACCGTTTCAGGGGCGAAATTTGTCAGAAAAATAACACAACTTTTTACATCAGACATAGAAATTCTGCTAAGCACTATAATAAAATCTAGTACAAAAGGCTCACTTTCACAAAAACACAACAAGTGTTTTATTATTTAACTAGGAGAAGTCTAAAGAGATGAAGGCCATTATAATATATCCTCTAAATCATTACATAAAGAGCAATAAAACTCATCTAAATCACATAACAAACAAAGCTTCTCTTCTTCAGGGAGACCATTAAACCTCACCTACCTAGCTAAAAATAGTTTAACTGAACATAAATAACATGATCATAAACTTAAATTCTGTTTCACATAACGCTCTAAACTATGGTTGTTTTTTATAGACAATAATTTAGATGTACCATATAATAAAAGACCATCATTCAAACACATAAGTAGACACTTGCTTTTTATGAATATCACAGTACACTATGACCTATTTTGAAAAATAAACAAAATAAATATATCACACAAAATACAGATTTAATATCACCAGGTAAAATACACCATTTATAAGATAAGTCTACACAAACAGCTGTGCAAAGACGCAGGAAAGGGAGAGATGTGATCTTTTAATGTATAAGCTGGAGACAAGCAATTGCCTTATAGTAGCAGTAAAGAGAATTACAGTAGATAGAAATAACAGCATGGATTAAATTCTCAAGATCTGCAGCTGTAATAAATCTATTATACTATTGTAGGGACAGGCAGAGAAGTAATGGGCAGAGACAGTGGGTGCATTATGTATTTTCTTTGTAATGCAGTGGGGAAATGCTTGCACTATAACATGGGGAGTTCTAAATGACTGCACAGATGCAAATATGCATCATTTTTTTCATGGACACAGGTGCAAACACAGAGAGAAAAAAATCACACACTGTACGTTTTGAAAAACTGTCGGCTAGAAGAGTCACCCAGTTCAGAGTAACCCAGATGTGACAAGAAAAGGACTTTCACTTCTGCCTTCTGATTAGTCAGCAGGGTCTCTGTGGTCCCTCCTCACATCTTTCCCTTGCCTTCCCCAATCTGAAGATACTTCATAAAAAGACCCACAGATAAAAAGCCTCCAATCCTCAGACCGAATCCCTCTAACACTAGTCTTACACTGAGAGGGTAACTGGCTCACTGGGCTCCCTCCTTCTTTTCTCATTCCCTCTTTCTCTTTCTGGTCCAGGAATGTTTTTACCAAGACCAGCAAGAGAAGGCCTTCTTCCAGATACTGCACCAGCCATGCCTAGTTTAATGGAGGGGAAAATGCCATTGTTCCATGTTCCTGTTTCGCTCGAGGTACAAAAAAAAAAAAAAAAAAACTCCTTCCCCACATCCACTTTTGCAGCTCAGCTCCACTTCAGGGCCAAGGATAACACAGGCATGTAAAAATAGATCTGCCACCGAAAGTAAAGCGAAGAGACACAAACGGCCATAAGCAGTACAACAGCCCAACACGTATGCATTTATTCAAATACGCTGACACAAAGGAAAATTGACATTCACTCTGTCTATGCCCCTGTCGAACATGCACACTAATCATCCTCACTGCTCGCGCGCAGGCAGCCCACCCATTTGTGTTATGATATCTCATTTGACCCTTGCCCTGTATTTATGTCTTTGCTAATTGCCTGTGTTTATTCACAGACATCCTGAGAGACTGAGGGGGGAGGCAGGTGGGGACAAGAGCAAGTCACAGGTACACAAGGAAAGAGAAAGAGAGAGACAGACAGACAGAGAGATAAATAAAGGAGCTTTCCTTCTATTTCTGTCAAAGTGGAGAAACTGTTCTTACAGTACAACTCAACTGATAGACAGAGACATGCTAACATATGTTTCTGAGCTATTTCGGCAAAGCACTCACAGTCTGGCTCATATTTAAATATAGATGAATGCCTTCTCCTCTTAATAAAGCCCTATCAAAACAGACCAGAACGGACAATGACAGATGGGAAACGTGGGCAGAGGAAAGCGAGTGTCTGGTTTTATCAGGGCTTGACCACGTCTTGATTAAGACCTTTAATTGCAATGATGAGAACTCAGACAAAACAAAAAAACAAGTGAAGACAGAGATCATCAGTGAGTCAGAGGACTGTGAGCAGATACCGTCTATGTTATGGGTGATTGTATCAGTGGCGATAGCTGAACCGATAAAGGATTAAAGAGATAAAGGGAATGTGGTAAACACTGCACTGTTCTACTGTGGCACTGTGGCGCCACCCAAACTCACTGCTGATTCATGGTGGCATGCTCAGAGACTACCTACCATTCATAATGTATGAAGAGAGACAAACACATTTCACTGCCAGTGCATGGACCAGTGCAGATCAAATCTGTTTCAATGAACATCACAGATGGTCTGGATTCTGACGACATGTTTTGTTTGAGTACTGTGTGACAGATGGGTGATATCCTTAAATTATCAGGGTCTATCCAGCAGTATTTTCAACACAAGGTTTTAGGTGTATTTGTATCCTACTGTGGTGTTTTACATGCTTGTGTACTTACAGTGACAGGCAGCTCACTCTCACTGGAGCCCAGCAGTCCGTTGATGGTGCAGTGGAACAGCTGGTCGTTATGGAAGCTGATGTTACAGGGATAGGAGCCAATCATCACTGAGTATTCCTCCGGCACCAGCTCCAGATCGCTCGGCCCTTTCTGCTCCAGAAACGAACAAAAACAGCCGTCAGCTGGTCAGTGGTAAGAGGCCAGAGGGAGTGTGGTTTGAACAGGCACAGATAACATTCATAAAGAGCACAGCAGCTTTAACCCATACATGCAGACACATAGGCATTCTTGCATACACACACACACACACACACACACACACACACACACACACACACACACACACACACACACACACACACACACACACACACACACACACACACACACACACACACACACACACACACAGGGAGCTGCAGCAGGCCTGTGACACAGCTGTCACACAGAGGAAGCCAGCAGAAAACTAATCTAGTTTGGGCTAGAGTTCAGCTTAAAGCAGCAAACATTCCCGCTGACTCTCTCTCACATGGCCAGGGAAGTTTCTGCAAACAAACCCGCTGACAGTCGTCCCAGCCTCTGCCCAAAATA